CCTCTGTTGCCCTCCCCAGAAAACACAGGAGCGGCACTGGACAGCATGGCCCCGGCCCCCGAAGCACGCCACTCAACGCAGGAATGACAGAGACCCACATACCTAAAGGACTATGTTTGCTAGGGGGGATCCGAACTATGGAGGGAGGGGTGTTGTGTTCTAAGGGCGACCGCACACGCGGTCTAACCTAGCTTTGCATCCTGAGACAATAGAAGGAGGATCCTAGAGCTAGCCTACCGGCTCATCCGGATCCTCAAGGGAACCTATGGTTGTGGTAACACTGTAAATAATCCTATCACGGGCGTGTGTGTGCGTGTGTGTTGGGGTGGGGTTTGTACTTGTATTTAAAGCGGGCCTCTGACTGGCTTCTGTATCTCCAGTTTACTCTTTTACTATGAGCTGAAATCACTACGCTATGCCTCAGTGCTTTATAGCATACAACACGCACACCGAGCTGTGATCTCCGATTCATTCACAGAAATTTAAAGAGACATGTTTGGGTTTCTTTTTTCACCTCAAGGGGAGGGGTCTTCCTTCAATAAAGGATTTGGTCTCCTATACTTTGCAAACACTAATGGCTACCCTATGTCTGAAAAGCAGCTGGGATGACTAAAACCGAATTGTTAATCACAGAGATTATTTGTTCCCCTCACACTCGCTGCTTCTCTCCTCTCCTCCCCTTTCCTTTCCTCTCTTGGGAAGCTACATTGATGTGGCAGAATTGATGGGTGGAAACAATAATCAAGGGTTCACAGATGCATTAGACCAGAGGTGTTGAACTCATTTGTTACTAGGGCCAGATCTAACATAAATATTACTTTGTTGGGCCAGACCATGTGTGCCATAAAATGTAACACAAGGTACCGGAGATATAAACTTTATAAAGATGATTTCAGATGCCAAATGGCAATAGCAGGCGTGATTGGATTAGGTGTGATATGCAGAAGGGTGGAGATATCAATATTAGTGTGATATACAGAGGCATGGAGATATCAGCATTGGTAATGCTGATATCTCCAGGTCTCAATCTGGTACAGGAGTTTTCAGTCCAGGAGGATGCAAAGAATAAATGGAAATAAGTCTGAAGAAGTGAGCAATGACTCACAAAAGCACATACCCTACCACAATTTTGTTAGTCTTTAAAGGTGCTACTGGACTCTTACTCTTTCTACCACTATTAGAAACCACAACATTCAAAAACCCGTATGGGAACATTTTAACCTTCCAGGGCATTCAGTTCCTGACCTAAGAGAAGCAGTTCTCTGACAAAGGAATTTCAAAGGGAGATTAGAAAGAGAGACTGCTGAATTGCAACTGATCATGAAGCCCAAGACAATGCAAACTCCTGGACTGAACTGAGACCTAGGTTCCTTCTCTTATTATCAATGCCTGCTCTGGTCTTTTGGCATCTCTCCAAGATATAAGGACAGATGGATTCACACTCCAGCTGTATCTATGGAAGTGAGCAGTGATTCATGAAAGCTCATGCCCTGCCACAAATGTTATTAGTCATTAAGGTGCTGCTGTACCCTTCCTCCCTTTCACTAATACGGAATGCAAGCTATGCTGTTAGGTTTCTCTCCCCCATTTGTTAGAAATGGAAAGGGGGATCTCTACAAGTGTCATGGGGTGGACTCTGTCTCTCTCTCTGATACCTGGAATAAAACTATTCTCCCCTCATACCTGGAATAAAACGTTTTTGGGTCTAAACACAGGACTCTTGGGTCTAAACACAGGACTCTTCCTCCCTCCAATAAAATGGTAAAGGTTCCCTTGCTCGAAAGCCAGTCGAATCCGACTCTAGGGTTGTGGTGCTCATCTCCGTTTCAAAATGTTTTTGGGTCTAAACACAGGACTCTCTCTCACTGGCTGGCTGGCTCCCTCCCTGGTCTTCTGAAAAGTCCCACGAGATAAATCCATTTTCCCCCTCTCTGTGTCTCTCTTCCTCCCCCTCCCTCCCTGGAGGGGGAGAGGGAAGGAGCCCTCAGCCAATGGAGGAAAGGCTTTCTTTCTCTCGAAGCAGGAAATAGGAGACTGGGGGGAAGCTGCGGCGGCATTACAAACAGGAACCAGAAAGCAGCATAGATTAGACCACAGAGACCGATGGATTACTGACTTTTAAAACAGAGAAGCGCCACGCTGCATTTTGTGAAGGGCTTTTGTAGGAATCTGTGTCTTTTAAAGCCACATGGCTCCATGCCTGGTCACTCCCCTTTAGGTGAGGAACCCAGTAGATAAAGGGGAACTGTCCCCTCTCCCTCCAACTCTCAGCCTCACTTTGTGAGGCTCTCTCTGTTGCTGAGGAGAGCAGAGGTGCAGAGCCACCGGTTGAGCAGAAAGTGGGTGGGAGAGAGCGCATGATTCACTTATTCAAAACATTGCCACCTGCTTCCGTCATCTCGGAAACACCTTCCTATCTCTTCATTGATTTCTGACACCCTCCTTTGTGGGCATCCTAATGCTCCACTGTACCTGGGAAGTGTCTTTCAGAAAGGAGTGTTCCACCTTACCAGCTGCAGTTCCCACGTTCCTAGCTGCCGGATGAGCAGAAAGCGGGGGGGGGGGGGGGACCCACTGTTGGGCAACCCTAGTGAGTTCCCTCCCATAGGTCTGGGCTGAGCGGGAGGGCAGGGCCTCTCCAGAGAAAGCACCCCGTGCATAGAGAGGAGATAATTGATGTGCATTTTCACAGGTAAGCATGCTAATGGGAACCCTGCTCATAAGACATACTTATTTTGAACAGTATAACATCCTGTTTTGTTAAAGTTGCTTTTACTTTATATATCAACTTTATGTTTTGTTATTAATGTTATAAAGATTACATCTGAGTTGCAGGGAACAAAATTTCTTTGTTTTCTTTGCTGACATGGTGGCATTCAGCTCCCTGGAGTGCACATTTTAGCTTGGATATTTCCTCATAGAAGGAGCTTGCCTTCAGTTTATTTTTACTTTGTCTGTCTTCATTGCATCAGTGAGTAAGCCGTAGGAACAGTAATTCCATCAAAATAAAAACAAGAAATTTGCACATATTTTTCTGGGGAAAATTACAACACATAACAATCATTTAAAATGTCTCAAAATAAAACCAGCTTACAGTCCAAATAGTTAACTGACCCAGAGTGGAGCACTTGGCGTGCAGGTCAGCCATACTTCCATCAGCGTGCCTCATTGTCATCTTTATGACAACGGCAACAGATGTCGCCATCTGGAAAGTAATGAATTTATCCCTATCTGCCAGTAGTTGTAGTAATGATCTGGCCTTCCTGGGAAATGAGAAATAATGGTCCTCAAAAATCTTTTATGCTCAGCCTCAAATCACAGGCAACAGAAAATGACATGGGGTAAATCCTTGATGGACCTGCAGTCACAGGAGCAGACTCTTTCAGTGTATGGAATGCTATTGAAGCAGCCTTCTAAAACTGCAAGCGGTAGAATACCTAGGCGTGCCTTAATGAAAACCTTTCTGTACTCGTAATTCATTACATCAGTAAAGTATGCTGGAAGAGGCAGGGGAGAAGGAAGTAATTGCCTTTAAAGGATAGTTGTTTTCAAGATGGCTACTAATCCAATATCGGTTTGAGTACTGTGGTCTGGCAATGCGTACTGGATGGGATTGTGCTCCCCTTGAAAGAACAGGTACATAACTTGGGGGTGCTCTTGAACCCAGGGCTACTGCTGGATAAGCAGGTGGCAGCTGTGGCCAGAAGTGCCTTTTACCAGTACAAAATTGTGCATGCCCTGGGTACATCTAGATTAGAATACTGTGATGTACTCTACATGGGGCTGCAGTCAGGATGTTGGTTGGGTCATAGGTACCATATCATTCCAGTTTTGGTCCATCTATACTGGCTTCCAATCTGTTTCTGGACACAATTCAAAATGCTGGTGTTGACCTTTAAAGCCCTACCTGGCTTAGGACCAGCAACCTGAAGGACCTATTCCCTTATGAACCTGTCCTGTCATTTCCCAAGGTTCTGTTTTGAGTGCCCCTGCCTTCTGAGATTGGGTGGGTGGCAATCTGGGAGAGGGGGGCTGACTTGGTTGTGGCATCAAAACTCTGGAATTCACTCCCTTCTGTTGCTATCTTCTGCCAGCAGGTGAAGATTTTTTTGTTTAGTCTGGTGATTTGTTAGTGAGTCCTCCTGCCCACCATATATTTTAATTGCTATTTTTATGTTTGTTTTATGTATGTGTAGCTTGGTTTTAATTGTTTTAATGATGTGCTTTTGCTTAGTTTTAATGATTTTAAGATGTGTTTTCATTATATTTTTAACCTTATATATGTTTTTAAGCTATGTATGTTTTTAACCTTGGTAGCCCTGATCTGGGCAGAAAGGTGTGGTATAAATTTTCTAATTAAATGCTTGCTATGATTGTTGAACCACAAACACTTCATGTTTCCCATATACTTTGGTGACATGCCAAGTTAGCATACTACTAAGAGATTCTCTGTATTTTTTGAAAAGAATTTAAGATAAACAGTTTAGGATTTTTGGAATAATCTTAGCCACTGATCTAAAAATGTCCTTCTATTAGATGGATGATGAATTTATAGGTTACTTTTGAAAGACAACGGGTCAATGCATAGGGTTGGAAACTAAGCCTTACTCCTGTTTGCACCCCTCTTCTTTCATTGTGGAGGTGGTCTTCATCTGTACTGCAGTTCTTCTGGCAGAATGTACTTTTCAGCTCATTGTCAGATGCTAGTTTTATGTGAGTATAAGCTCCTACAGCCAGATGAGTGTTCTGTGTAGCTAAGGATTGTCTCCACAGTGGAAAAGAGTACAACACTAGTAGAAGCAGTGCTTAGGATCGAGATAATAACTATCTGTTTCGTTTTATAGGATATTTTAATTGTTTTGCTGTTGGCTGCCTTAAAACTATATGGGAAAATATATAAAGATCTATAGCTATTTAGAAAATGTTCTAGAAGTAACACATGATGAGAATTTGGACTGAATGAGAACTATACTATACTTTTCTACTACCCTTTTTCCAAGGTCTTCCTTGGTGACATAGATGGTTTTCCTTTCCTCATGTTATCCTTACAACTGTCCTATGAGGTATGGTTTTTTTTATACCATTCCATCTTGTCAGTGTCAGTTTGATGTACTAGAACTTGAATTACCCATATGCATATGCTCTGATTCATTTTCTCTGTGGGTGCACACTGGCTGATTACACATAATTAAAATTATTTGAGGAACAAATAGTGATGTAAAATGGGGGGGGGGGTTGGTTTCGCAAAAGTAAAAGTGAAGCATTTTAGATTTTTTTCCTCCTTCCTGTATATTTATAATTCATGGTATATGAATAAAAAATGTGCTGTTAAGTCAATTAACCTAGTCCTGAAAATAAGATGTAGGCTTGTTGTATCTACCATTTATATGGTAAAAAGTGGCTATTTATATATAGAATGTGAGATGATAAAACACAGGTTTTCTTCCATTGTGTAGTCTTTTCTTCCCTTAAGTTAACCCAGTATAATTAATTTACTTGTTATGAAGCTTCTGTAGAAGCTGTTTGTTCATTATTAAATGATTAAAATGATATTAGTGTTTGGCACATAAATCGCTACAATTTTGTTTTCTTGTTGAATAAGCTACACATGAGAAATGTCAATGGAGGCTCCAAGAGAAGTAGGAGTGTGGCGGCAAACCCGAGCTCTTTTGTATAAGAACTATCTTGTTAAATGGAGGACTAAGAAGAGTAGCAGTCAGGTGAGTTAATCCACACTATGCTGGTGTTTATCAGTATGCGAGCAAATAGGAGGAGGGATCTGGGTCTAAATCAGTCTTTACGAAGAAGTTTGCTTAATTGAAGGAGGACATGCAAGTTGCAAACTGTTGCAGTTATCCGATTTATTCTTTATCAAGCTGTTAGGTAAAGCAGAGAACAGCAAAAATGATGTTTCCTGAGCACTTCCTTTCTTTATCTCTTTGGTGTTCAGTTAGCTATGTTGCTTTAACAGCTTGAGAAGCTGTTGAAAGGGGGGATGGGTGGAGGAGGGGAGTGCCTGCTCTGCCCCACCTTTTCCTAAAGACCCCAGTGGGTAGTTATTTGCATAACTTTGGAACACCAGTTGCTTGGACTACTTCACATGCATATCCAAAGTTATGTGAATTCCTCTGTTTATTTAATGTTATATGTAAATATTAATGACTATGGTGTTTGAACAGTGTAACAATATTTATGTGACTTTAATATACTGACAGTGCAGTCCTGTGCAGCTACTCCAGTCAAAGCCCATTGAAATCAATGGTCTTAAATTAGAATAACTCAGCATAAGACTGGAAAGTATTTAAATGGATAAGAGACTCTACAGTACAGAGTTTTAATCAATGTCTAGCAATAAAAAAATAGGTCCTCATTGTTATTAGCCAGAGGATAGATATTTGTTAACATACATATTAACCTCTTCAAGAATATTGATAACCCGATGTTGGAAAATGGATAAAACCCCATCTAGAGAAGAAATAGCGTTAAAATTGTTAGATGCGGCAGAAATTGATAAGTTAACCATATTAATCCAATGGAAAGGATGAAACGTTATTCCTAAAAAGATGGACTAGAGTGTATAAATGGGAAAATAACTATGTATAGAAGACTCCGAATATATGAACTAATTGCTCATGTATTTGTTTATTTAGCGTGAAACAACTTTATAAATAAAATATTTTTAAAAAATAGGTCCTCATGTATGCTTAAAAGCATTTCTGATCATTGCCAGAGGTCTGTTCATCAGTTTTCTTCCTGGGCAGCAGCCTACTATTCCAGAGGGCACAATGTTTAAGCAGAGTTGCCTCTTGCATTGTTAATAGTACAAATGTGCTTTAATAAAAATTGCAGAACTTATTTATATATGCCTTGATGTTATGCTGTCATCCAGTTTGTCATGTATATTTCAAATGTATTGTCTTTAGTGGGCTAGCTGTAGAAGTGCAGCTTTAGATAGCTTTTTCTTACTGTTATCAATGCTAACGTGTATACTTCCTTTGTAGGAAGTTCTGCTTCCGATTTTCTTTTTATTTTGGCTAATATTAATGAGCATGATGTATCCAAGCAAGAAATATGATGAGGTTACAGATAATGATCTTGGTTCTGTGGCTTACTCAAAAATGTCCAAGTTTATCGTTGGCTACACTCCAGTGACTGAGTTCACAAGAAAAATCATGACAAAAATGTCTTCAGAATGCTTCCAAGAAGGTATGTGAACCTTAATGCTACTCAGTTCTTTACGGAATTTGTCTTTTCAAAAATTTTCCCTTGTATTTGTCTGGAAGTTACGACCATCAGACTGGCTCAGCACACTTTTGGTGTCTTTGTGAACCAGAACTTCTCTTTTTGTAAAGGCTAAAATTTTAAAGTTATTGGCATTCCTTCAGATTTTGGCAGTACTGATCATGCAAGGACACTGAATGCCTCTTACATCCATCTCAGCAATATATAAGGGTCTGAGCAAAAAGAGTTCCCTCTTATCTAAGCAGCCAACATGCCTCTCACTTGTGATGTGATTAAAAATCCTCTCCCCTGGGTAAGAACAGTGTTCCATCTGTCTTTGCTGTTAGGCAGGTGCTCTATGCTAGAAGAATTCATCTTCCTGTTGTACTGTCCTCCTTTTGCTGCAGGCCAAGAAGAGAAAGTCTTCAGTGACAGTCCAGTTTACTGCCTTAGCCATGTGAACAAGCCACTTGGCATTTGTCCCTTCAATTAAAAATATTTTTCAAGAGTTGATATTTTTTGAATTGAAGAAACTTGTACCTTATGCAAGATGTGGAACACTGATCTGTAGAATTTCATTGTTTAAGAAAAGAAAGAGGGAAAGAATCTCTCATGCTTTGCTTCTCACATAGGTTTGACTTCACTGTGCTTTATTGTCGATAAATTCAGGGGTTCCAGTCCAGCTGCAGAACTAGAGATACCGTAACCAGCATACATATATGAATAGAGATGTATTCTAGTTTGGGCAAACAAATGAGGAGAGCAGCTATATATAGTATTGTACCACTGTTGATAGAGATGAGAGTAATTGGGGGTAATTTGAATCTTTTGCAGGAATCATTACAGAAGAATTTTTCACTGAGCAAGAAATGCAAAAGGCTAGTCTTCATAAACCTCCAAATTTTGTGGGGGCAGTTTTTAAGGATTCCATGTCCTACCATCTCAGATTTCCTCCTACTGTGATTCCATTATCTGTGAGTTATGTAGACTCAAGAGGTAAGAATACGTGTGTATATTCTAAGAACTTAATTTAGAAAGTTGCGCTTGTTTTGCAAGTTCACGATGAAGACTTGAAGAATTTATTACCAAAATAAAACAGTCTATTAGAAATAGACAGGACGGTTTCCCATATTCTTTAAGCTTATGCAAAGTGTTTGCAGGTTGCTTTCAGATTTTAAGCATACCTGCATTTTTTACATCAGGAAATGAATATAAAAACTTTGAGGTTTTAAAGCCAGATTAGATAAAATTCCTGTTAATTGCAACTGCCTGGATTATGTGAGTGGGTGAGGAATTAAATAGGGATCCTGACACTGATGAAGAGAAGTCTACAACACTTTCCTTCCATGCTGTTTTCCTAATTTGATCCCCTCCCCACCGCATTGCTGTTTGCCCTCATAGGGAAAGCATATAGGAAAACTGATTACAAACCTTCAGTGTCTCATTTAGTTGTACCCTCAATTTCAGTCATAGGAGTGACTTGCAGAAGCAAGCTTTTTAAAAGTTCAGCATGCATTTGTAGTGTGTTGCTGCTTATTGTTACTTGCTTTGCTGATTGTGTATTTATTGAATGCAATTTTATGAAGCTGCTTTGAGTGTCTTTTAGGTAGGACAATAGATTATTTTGTATTGATCGTATAATCTGTAATCACAGTGTCGTAATTCAGAATCCAAAGACATCAACAAATTCACAATTCACAAAGCTCCGACTGGCAACCAGCCCCTTCCTAACATTACTGAGACTTCTAAAGGACATCTGAACAATAGGGGAGGGGAGTTCAAGAGCCAGAAGTTGATCCTAGAGAAAAATGCTATACCCAAGCACATACTAAGCCAGAGCCTAATAAACCATTTAAGGTGTGTGCCTCAACCCCAGCCAAGGCTTGGTTTAGGGATTTGGTGTCATTATCAAGCAGGAGAAAGAAGCCTTACCCCCAGTGGCTTATCCTGGCCAGAATCAACAGTGGGAGTGAAAGGATCTTTGGGGGGGGGGGGATCAGATTCTTATTGCAAGAACTTAATTTTTTTTTTTATTGGACTTTTACCCCGCCCTCCCTTAGTGCTTTTGAATAGGTAATGAACAAAATATGTTCATTTTAAAAATAACATTACTTGATTTTCTATAGCTAGTTGTTCAGGCCCTTCCAATATGTGTGAAGCTGAAAAGTACTTACGCTCTGGATTTACAACTCTACAGATGTGTCTTGATGCCGCAATTATACAGGTAAATGGAATAATCAGAATGTGAAAAAAACTGAATAATCACAATTTGCTTTGCTTGAAATAGTAATCAGATAGACTTTTCTTCTGTTTTAAAAAGACTTTGCAAACAAATGCCAGTAAATGTTTTCTTTGTGATGAAATATTCTGTGGTTTCCATAACATTACCCATGCACCCATTAACTGGATGTACAATATTTTTGTTACCATTCTGTACCGGTTTGGCACTGCATACACACCCCAAGACCTGTAGCCAATTTTGTGTATATCCAATGTATATTTATTCTCCATATGTCAAAAATACACATTTAACTATTATGACCTCTGGTGATGACTATGTGAAATACTACCAGAACTCCCTCTAGGTATCTAAAGTTTGAGCTGACTGTAGAAGTAATGATAGTTCCCTTTATGTTCTAGCATCTTGGTTATAGGCAATTAATTGTTTATTTATATTTTACTTTATGTCTGTTCTGCCTTCCTCGCTGAGACTCCAGGCAGATGACACTGTGTAAATCAATGCTATTATTAGGATGAGCCATCTAATAGGATGAGACATCTAATAGGCAGTAGGATTACAGATATTGTGTTACACATATATTTAACAATGCAGAAAATGATATTATTAAAGTAAGAAATATAGCTGTGACAGCAAGACAACAGATGCGGCAAACAGATAATAATACTGTAGGCAATAGCATAGTCCACAGTTCCTTTCCCTTTATAAAGCACCCTCTTCTACCATTTATTCTGTTATTTTACTAGTTATTAATAATCATGCCATCAGTCACTCTGTTGCTCATTCCAAAACTCTAAGAGATTTCCAGTTTATGAGTACCTGAGCATTGTTTAATTTTATGAATACCTGAGCATTGTTTAATTTTAACTTTAATTTTAAGGGATTAATATGCCCAATCTTTATTAAGTAAAATAAAATTTTGTTGAAGCAGATTTTAGGATGTTGCACTGGTCTTCTGAATACTATGATACCTCTATGCATTGCAAAATCAGTTTTTGAAAAATCCAGAAAGTTGGTGAATGCAAGAAATGATAAATGGATGAGTAAACTCATAAACTCAGAAAGTTCACTGGGATTAGGAGTATAAAGTAGGCTAAGCACAGGTGTATTACTTTAGAAATTAAAAATTAAGTAATAAAGTAGTAGCAGTAGATTTTAATGTTTCTTTCTTAGTTGAAGGCTAATAATTTGTAAGTCAGAAAGTCTTTAATGGTTTTGGTCAAAGGCTATTACAAGTTATAAAATACAAGAAGCAGAGAAATAATAAAACACTGAGTCCAAATTTTATGTGCATTTGCTAAGTGCTATCCAAATTATAAACTCTAAGCATTATCAGCATTAAAACAGTATTGAGTATCCTAAACTGAAGACTATATGATAGTTTTAGAATAATCAATTAAATATAGATTCTGCTACTTCTATAATGATTTCGTAGTAGGGTTCCCATTCCCCCGATGGGGGCAGGGGTTTGCCCCTTTTTCAGGGGCCCTGATCCACTGGCCCCAATCCGGCCAGCAGGGGGAACCCCACCCCCAAAGTGCCTTGTTTACGCCGATGTACCTGGAGGTGACATCATCGTGCAAGGCACATTGCTGGGGACGTGCTATCGTTCCAGATGACATCACTTCTGGGTGACATGCCAAGGACATCCCAGACCGATGGAGGGAGCCCCCCGCGGGCAGCCTGGTAAGACCTGGCAACCCTATTTGGTAGACATAAGGCCTTTTTAGAGGCATAGCAATTAGTGCCTTAATTTACATTAAAAGCAGAAGGGACAAGGAAAGACAAGATTTGATTGATGAAATTGTGACCCTACAAAGGTAGACATAAAAAGGAGCAAGATTTAAATATGTACAGAGAATTACAAAGAGCTAGAAACTGCCTAAATGAGCTTGAAGTAAACAAAATGAACAAAAATGTATTGTACATTAAGCAAAGGTACTTATGAATATGAAAACAACTTCTATTAATATGATAGATGCTATCAAAACCAAAGATGGATCAGTTGTCACCCATACTGACCAAAGAATTGATTGATTTTCAGACTTTTATAGAAATCTCTATAAAACACAATAACCAAAGGCTCATGGAATATCAAAGATGATGATGATGATGATGATGATGATGATGATTACATTTCTACCCCGCCCTCCCCGCAAGTGGGGTAAGGCCGGCTTACAATAGGGCACCATGTGCCAAAGCATAAAACAGCATAAAAACAGGATAAAACAATCAACATTAAAGTGCTCAGTAGTTACAATCAAAATTTAACAAAAGAATCAAATTTGCAAGATGGACTCCCCAGTATCTTACATAGCAATAGGGAGATTAAAGACCCATAGATGTTACTCGACCCCATCCAGCAGTACTGATCACAGCGAAGTCATGGTTGATCTTCATGGGGCTACCCCTCAGGTCTACCAATGGTGGTAATAGTAGTGGTAGTGGCAGTTCCTACTCAAAAGCCTGGCGGAAGAGCTCCATCTTGCAGGCCCTGCGGAACTGTAAAAGCAGGCCCTGATCTTCTCCGGGAGCTCATTCCACCAAGTAGGAGCCGCCACTGAAAAGGACCTGGCCTTTATTGCAGTAAGCCTGGCCTCCCTGGGGCCTGGGGTTACCAGGCGATGTTGTGTCCCCAACCGAGGTGCTCTTTGGGACATATGTGGGGAAAGGCGGTCCCTCAGGTATGTCGGACCCTGGCCATATAGGGCTTTAAAGGTAAGCACCAGCACTTTGAAGGGAATCCGGTATGCTATAGGCAGCCAGTGCAGCGTTTTCAGCACAGGCCGGATGTGCTCCCACCTAGGGACGCCCACCAACAGCCTGACCTCAGCATTCTGCACTAGCTGCAGCCTCCTGATTTGTGATAAAGGCAGCCCCATGTAGAGAGCATTACAGTAGTCTAACCTCGAGGTGACAGTTGCATGGATCACTGTAGCCAGGTCATCACGGTCAAGGAAAGGAACCAACTGCCGAATCAGCCGAAGGTGGTAAAAGGCCAATTTGGCAGTGGCTGCCACCTGGGCCTCCATAGTTAAGTCAGGATTTGAGCGGGTGCCTCCGGGACTGCTGTTCCCCTAGCACCACCCTCTGTCCCTGACCTTGGAGAAAAGAGGCAATCCATTGAAGGGTGAGCCCCTGAATCCCTGACAGATCTAACAACAACAGAGCCGCTACACTGCCCCGATCCAGATGCCTCCGGAGTCGTCAGGAAGGACGACAAGCACTGTCTCCATCCCATGCCCCGGGCAGAAGCCGGACTGAAATGGATAAAATAAATTTTCCTAAATTATCAGATTGACAAGGGTTTGTTGTAAAACTCTGTAAAGTAACTAAAGTGATAATTTTTTTAAAGCACCTGGATTAGTTGGCTTGATACTGGAATATTTTCAGGCTTTTGCCCCAATAGTTGCCATACTTCTGTTAGAAACAATGTAGGGATCCTAGGCAAGAGTCCAATGGAATTGAGCCCTCCACGGCTCAATTTTTAGTCAGCAGGCTGGGCTAACCTCAGATAATGAGGTGCTCTTCCAGCCCCTCTGGACTTCTCCTTTGCTCTTCCTCCCTGGCCTGCCTTGTGCCCTCTGTTTAAATCTCCCCCTCCCAGGCAGGATCTCACCAGACTCACCAATCCTCCCCTCCCCGGGGTGAGACTCATGAGACTGACAGCCTCTGACCCCAGTGGAGTACCACCTTTCTGTCTTCACTCCTCTTCCCCTACCTCAGCGTTGGCAGGGCTAGCATGAGGAGGGGCCATTGGTTTGCTGTCCCACACTGCCTCCTTGCAGGTGCATTGGAGGATGCCTGCGTGACTGCCACATGTTTCCTTCCACTTGCTGCTGACCTTCCTCCACTCTAAGCTGTGTAGTGAGCCTGGGAAGATCTTAATAAGATATTTAAAGGAAAAAAAGTCCTACCAACATGGGCTGAATCTAAAATGACTGTTACACCAAAACCTGTCAAGGACAGAACATGCTCTGGATCTTATTGCCCTATGTCTCTACTCAGTTATGACTTTAAAATCTTAACTTCAACTCTTGCTAATAGAGTAAAGAGTATAATATCACAATACATGTATTAATGAGCAAATTGGATTTATTCCCAATTGTTGCGCTTCGTCTAACATTAGGAAAATAGTAAATCTTACAGATTTAGTTAGTAGAGGGAAAATAAAGCATTCTTTCTTTTTGTAGATTCTGAAAAGGCATTTGTTTCTGTTAAAACCTTTAGAAGCTTCTTGGTTGAGTAATCATTTTGTTAACAGGGCAAAAATAGTTTGTTCATCAACCAAAGTTAGACTTAGTATGCATAATAAATTATCTTATTGCAATAGATAGAGGGATAAAGCAAGAATGCCTATTATCAGCACTCCTCTTTAATATTTGTCTTGAACCCCTGGCAGTAATGATTAGAGACTCTGAAGAAATAATGGGTATTGAGATTAATAATCAGAAGTATAATCAGAAGTATAAAATAAATTGATATGCTGATGACATTGTGTTGTTTTTAACAAGGGTCAATGAATGTATTATTAGGCTTATAAATATAGTTGATGCTTACACAGTAGAAGCTTTATTATTTAAAATAGGTATCAGTGAGATTTCTCACCAGATCTGGATCAAGAACATGAAATATTGTATGAAATATTTAGGAATAGTGATTGGACAAGACTTCTCAAAATTAATAGATTGTAATCTAAAAGAATCTAAAAAAATCTAAAAGAAGTCAACCCTGACTATTCCCTGGAAGGCCAGATAATGAAACTGAAGCTCAAATACTTTGGCCACCAAATGAGAAGGGAGCACTCACTGGAGAAGACCCTGATGCTGGGAAAGATTGAAGGTCAAAGAAGACGGGGACGGCAAAGGTTAGACAGTGTCATAGATGCAATGAACATGAAATTAAGCAAACTTCAGAGGACGGCGGAAGACAGGAAGGCCTGGCGTGATCTTGAACATGAAATTAAGCAAACTTCAGAGGACGGC